TACAGCTTAGCTTAGCTCCTTTATTAGTTTTTATTGGTTATTTATCTAGTCTAGACATTAAAAAAGCTCTTTTGTTAGTTATAAAAAGTACTTTATTTGTTTCTTTTTTAACATCACTTAGAAGCAAAATTTCATGTAACAGTTTATCGAAAAAAGGCCCAAAAAATCAAATCAGCCGATATGTGCCCTATCTACAGCTTCAAACTATCCTATAAGGTCTTAATTGTCATCTGTAAATACTGGTATATGCACAAAATAGTGTTCTTTTATTTTACGTAAAGTTTCTTGTTATCTTGTCATTAAGTTTATCATATGTTCAAGGAGTTGATCTCAAGATGGTTGAACATGGGTTAGGTTCATTAGAGAATCAAGATTTCTTTCAAGATTGGCTCTTCTAACAGATGATCATTACTTTGTATATATGTCGAGTATCTTTGTCACCTATTATTATTCATTTGATTCATCAGACATCTCAAGATATTCATCCTGCCCAATATTCACTAATACTTGTTATTATTCAATTGATTTGTTGATTTTTTTTTTGTTATTCTATCATTCACTTGTAGTATTAGCTTATTGTTTGTAGGTTTGTAAACTTGATCTACTAATGCTTTATCCTAGATTAATATGGTTTATATACTTGAAATTTTGTTCAATATTTTGTCTGTTTGTTGTATTATCTTCTTATTGTCATCATTATTCGTTAGTATCTTTAATAGTTTTACTTAATGCAAAACAAAGCTGATTTTTATTTGCTTATATAATTTTTCAATTATTATCTTTAACACAGCATTGATTCGAGGTATGTTCTTTAATTATTTTCTTAATACAAGTTGTTCTTGCCTTTCGTTCACCTGATTAAAAATTTTAGACATATACAATAATTCTTATTCACTGATTGCTTTTTGTTTATTCTACTTGATTTTTAATATTTTAACACAGTTTTCCTTTTATTCATCTACACAATTGGCACTATAAATGTTACGACCAAGGAAAAGACTTTGTATCTACTTAGCCAATTTAACTAAGGGCCATAATCATTAATACTAATGAACTGATTGTTTTATTATCACAAATGACACCATAAAAGTAACAAACAAATATCTTTCTATTGTGTTTCAGATATACTAACAGTACTAATACACTTATTTCTCTAACTAACTTAAAGTTTCAAACTTACTAAGAGTCCAACTCAAACAACCAGAAAGACAAAACTAACTGAAAACTAAAAGAAAAATCTCTAGAACTAAAATACATATCGCTCTATATATATCTATAAATAAACTCTAAAGTAAGCTATACTCTATTTAATAGTCTAATTAAAGTATACTTTATACTTCATATCAACTATTAAAATATTACACAAAAAGTATATACAAGTATAACAAAAGTATAATGGTTATATAATGAAAGTTTAATTGTGAAACTTTATTGTATAACAGTTATAGATGCAAATATTTGAAGATATATAGTTACGTCCAATTGACGTGTTGTCACGTCAAAAGTATTATAATGACATAGGTCATAACAACTGACATTTGCTGTAACTAGTTATTGCAATACAACAGGTTATGGTAATATGGCAATATAACAGGTTATAGCAGCACCTCAATCAAGTGATCAGAGACAATTTTTTAATTAGCCAGAAATTGAACAAATGAATCAAATGAGTTACCATTTTGATGAAAAATCAGTGAGATACAAACTACCTTTTTTCTTCAAAAATTTTGATTGATATAGATCGCTCAAGCTCAACAAATTACTAACTGGTCTAAAAAAAAATAGCCACTTTATTTTTAATACTCAATGTTTTAAAATAAATAATCAATATCTTGATATGAATGTACAACCATCTTTTAACCTTTATAAAGCCATAATAAATATGGCTATTCTGTTATTCTCTTCATACAACAGATAATAAAGGCTACAAACTCTTTTCAAAAACATATTCATATTATCTATGCTATTTTCAGTGCGAAGTAGCAACTACAGAATTACTATAGGTTGCCTATACAATCTTTTAAATTTTAAATACTGTATCATTAATGAAAAAAGTTTACTTTTTGTAACTTTTGCTAATGACTCCAATAAGTTGATTCTGTTGCTGTTTCAATAAATTTGTAAAACATTAAAAGGAGAAGCTAGTGCTATCGAAGTTAAAACTTTGATAGCTGGTTAAATAGAAACTTTTTTATTAGGCTTTTTTCAGAAGGTTTAAAGATTATGAAAAATAGTACGAGTACGCTCAAGTATTTAATTCTATAAATATCAATATTGATTGTGATGCTTGAGCATTATCATGATCATTATTTAATCAATTGATTTAGATGCTTGAGAACAACCAAAATTATGTTATTTCACTTTTGTTTAGTGTTAGTGTTAGGGTGTTCTCAAGCATCTCGATCAATTAATTAAATTATGATAATGATAACGCCCAAGCATCACAGTCAATGACGATATTTATAGAATTAAATGTTTGAGCGTACTCTTTCTATTTTCAAAATCTTTTCTGTCTCCTAAAAAAACCTAATAAATTTTTTTTTGTTCAATCAGCTGCCGAAGTCTCAATTTCAGTTTCACTGGCTTCATCTTTTGCGATTTTATCAATTAAATTTTTGTTGTAACAGCAACATACTTAACTTATGGAGTCATTAGCGAAAATTGCTTTAGAGAAACAAGTAAACTTTTTTTTTAAAAAAAATTTTTTTATGGCAATTATAATAATTCGGTAGTTGCTATGCAACACAAGTAAATTTTATAGCACAAAAATGTTGCGGCACAAGTCATATGTTACGGCAAACATCAAATGTTAAGCACAAGTCAAATGTTACGACACATGTCAGGTGTTACGGTAAACATTAGTTGTGGCTTTTTGACGTATCGTCACGTCTTTGAGTTACGTCCAATTGACGTTAAGATCAGTTACAACACTGGCATATGTCTGCATCTATACGTAGTAACAGTACCCCTATGGCATGATGCCAGGATGGCATCCCATGACTTTCGTGTCACCCATCCTAGGGATGCGCCATTGCGCAGAATGTTTGAGAGACTGTGAAGTGTGATATTTATAATTCAGCCAGATGACAAAATTCTTGAAACCTAATATCTAAAATTCGAAGGTACAGATTCAATCAAAATTGTCAGAATTCAACAACCCGAGCAACTCGCACACTCGAATTTTAGACACTGGTTGGACCACAGATAATATTTATGTAGGTAACAAAATCTTATGTTTTATAAATAAGATCATAAGAATTATAAATATAAGAGCTTTTATATTTTGGGTGCTAGTATTTTTAAGGTTTGCACCAATATTTTAGAATAATTAATATGTGGCGCATATTGCGCAGCCTGCTAAGTAGATTCAAAATCCTCAATTTGTCCATCCCTAGTATTGATTAATTCCATATAAATAACTTCGACTATCAGGTCAAATAATTTATTTGCTAATTTTCATTATCTTTGACCATATGGCTAATTTTCATTATTTTTGACCATATGGCTAATTTTCATTATCTTTGACCATATGGCTAATTTTCATTATCTTTGACCATATGGCTAATTTTCATTATCTTTGACCATATGGCTAATTTTCATTATCTTTGACCATATGGCAAATCTATTGTCTTGATTATTTGACAGATTCACTTTTATTAAACTCTTCCTAATTAAAAATTGGTAAAAAGTTTGGTACCTTGATAAAAATTTATTGTTGTATTTTATTTCATTATTTTTGACTAATCCATTTCTTCATCTGTATAAATAACTTAGATTTTATTTTTTAAAAAAAGTTATAGTGGTTTCAGCTTCATTTAAAATCAATGATTCATGTAATTGTTATTTATTCTAAAGTTTTTTTTTAAAATAATTTTGGCTATACAAAAGAGACATAGAAGTTTTACAATTGTTAAATTACAAATGCATTAAAGAAGATTGTTAAATTTAAATACATTAAAAAAAGTTTCGAAACGAAGAAATATTTATTGATATCAGCGAATACTATTATTGGTGTCTAGAGATGTGCCCACGTGCGAGATGTTAATATTATCCTTGAGCGAAATAAATTTTTAATGAAGAAATTTTAGTAATCAGTGATATATAAAATAAAAATGTTTTTTTTTGTTTTAACAAAAATAATTAGACTATTAAAACCAATAATCTGCTAGACTCAAAATTTCCGATCTCTGACACACATCGTCCTCATGGTAACACAACTATGGATGTATTAAAAAATTTTTATCATTGAATACTTATTTAAAACAAGTATATATATACTAGTATAGAATATTAACTATAAAAAAACTCTTTCCATAAATCTTTTATACAAAAATTAACTTTGTGGAGTTATATGGCATACGAAATATATGCTAGGTTTATCGTGCGAGAGGCACGTCAATATTGGTAACTCAGAGTAACAAGTATTTTTCAAAGCCATAGTCACTCACATGCCTGAGTTTTTTTCTTAGTCATATTGGAAAAGATGCTTTTCCTGTAAGCAAATTTTTCCTCTTTATCAAGTGAACCCCAATATTTAAATTTCTTGTTATTAATTCTCTTGTATAAATTTTTGACAGTTTCATCCTTGCTCTGTTTGAAAAAGATAGATACGAAAGTTGCATCATCGGTTTCTTCATCATAAAATCCATTTTTTCCCATTAAAAAAGATGCAGCTTTTGTTTCTTCTTCATTATCTTCCTTAAATTTCTTAACAGAATCTCTAAGAAAAATTTCCACATCCTCGAACCCTTTTAATAGCAAGTTTAATTAACTTTTGTTTATATAGAAAATTTATTATATAATATTTCACTTACCATCACTAGTCACAAGAATAAAATCAATGTCTTGATTGTTTATTTCAATAAGACCCGATTGAGCTTAAATTTGATAAAAATTAATAAATCTATTGTTTTTTTTGTTTTTAAGGATCATACAATTGAACTTACTAGAATATCTTCTAGCCATTTCTCTTTCTTGAGGAAGATCATCGGGAAATTTCTTGCTGGTAAAATTATATGTATTTCCAAAAAAAGTGGTAATTTTCAATCCACCAAGGTCTCCATCGTCAAGCCAATATCTTGGGCTACCATAACAGCGATCAAATCTATCTTTTAGATAGTAAAAGTGAGGTTTCTTCACTTCTTTTGTTAACATTTCAAGTTCACCTATTATTGATTAGATTAGTTAATGTGTGTTCCATTCTAGGGTATAATCTAAATTTAGTTGTTTACCATCATCATCTAAATTATGGTTTGCAGTAATTCTTCTTATTTGTTCATTTTTGTAACCGGCATAAGTAGGAGAGTCCCCTCGGTGTACCTTTAAAATTAATGCGTAAATAAAGCAAACTTTATAGTTTTATTTATTAGCAAAAATGCTACTCACCACATATGTAGTTTTATTAAATATTAAAGCAATTGTAGCAGTTGTACCTACAGAATCTTCAAATTCATAGCCTTCTTGTTGTTTGAATATATCATTATCGAGACTTTTGAACACATTATTAAAGATTTCTTTGATTTTATTTTTATCAGGTTCATCATCGACTTTTTGCAATTCTTTTTCTAGTAAAGTTTCATTACTACTATCACAGCTAATTAAAGAACTTAACACAAGCTCAACAATTTCATTTTTATTATGTTCTTCGGCACCTAGAATAGTAATATGTTTTAATATTTAGTATTAGACATTTATTAAGTAGTGATTGGAGTCGTCAATACTATCCGGATATATTTAGCAAACAGGTTAGACTTCGGATATCGGGATTGTATCTACATAATAT